CTCCCGAGTACTGGGATTAAAGGCGTGCGCCACCACCGCCCGGCAAAAAAAAAGTTTTTTAAACTTACTTCTAGAGTTATACCGTGTAGCCCAGGCTAGCCTGGAATTTGGCAAGCCTTTTACCTCCACCTCCTGAGTGCTGGGATTCTAAGAGCATAGACTGAGCCATCCATATCCTCCTGCAGAGCCTGGGCCTGGTGGACAGGAACAATGAGCCGCTTACCCATGCCATGTACAACCTGGCCTCCTTGCGTGAGTTGGGTGAGACCCAGCGCCGGCCATGTACCATCCAGGTTCCCGAGCCCATCCTTCGCAAGATCGAGGCCTTCCTGAGTCATGTAAGAGTCCTGCCTTCCATCCCACTGTCTCCCTCTCCAGACTGAAGGCTGCTTCTGCCTGCAAAAGGCGTAGGAAACCTGTGTTTTCCCCACCGAGCAGGGAGCTTTGGAGCGCCCTGGCCCTAAGTCCCCTTAGTCATGCCTGTGAGGGTGTCGGGGCAGTCACAGCCCAAGTTCTCCTCTGCTCTCTGGGTTGGGCCCTAAACATCTGACTAGGTGAATCCTGTGGAGGGGCTGACTGCATGGAGGAGGAAGACAGGCACTTCTGTCATTTTGCTTGCTTCCTCGTCCTCTAGTACCCGGTGGACAGTTCATGGATTTCCCCAGAACTCCGGCTGCAGAGTGATGACATCTTGCCCTTAGGCAAGGACTCAGGGCCCTTAAGTGACCCTATCACAGGCAAGCCATACATGCCCCTGTCAGAAGCGGAGGAGGTACGCCTGAGCCAGAGCCTGCTGGAGCTGTGGCGGAGGCGAGGGCCGATTTGGCAGGAGGCTCCCCAGCTACCTGTGGACCCTCATCGGGACGCTATCCTCAGTGCCATTGAACAGCACCCAGTGGTGGTCATCTCTGGGGACACGGGCTGTGGGAAGACCACACGCATCCCTCAGCTACTGTTGGAGCGCTATGTGACTGAGGGCCGAGGGGCCCGATGCAATGTGATCATCACACAACCTCGCCGCATCTCAGCTGTGTCCGTGGCGCAGCGGGTCAGCCATGAACTGGGCCCCTCCTTGCGCCGCAACGTGGGCTTCCAGGTGCGCTTGGAAAGCAAGCCCCCAGCCCGAGGTGGGGCGCTGCTCTTTTGCACTGTGGGTATCCTGCTGCGGAAGCTGCAGAGCAACCCCAGCCTGGAGGGTGTGAGCCATGTTATCGTTGATGAGGTCCATGAGCGGGATGTGAACACAGACTTCCTGCTGATTCTGCTTAAGGGCCTGCAGCGCCTCAACCCAGCCTTGAGGCTGGTGCTCATGAGTGCTACAGGAGATAATGAGCGCTTCTCCCGCTACTTTGGGGGCTGCCCTGTCATCAAGGTGCCTGGCTTCATGTATCCCGTCAAGGAACATTACCTGGAGGACATCCTGGCCAAGCTGGGCAAACACCAGTACCCACACCGGCATCGGCACCATGAGGTGAGGGACATCCCCATACACACCCCAGGGTTGCTGGGCCTTCTTTTGGAATTCCCTCCCTATCTTCATGATAGAGCATATTATCTTCCCAAGCCTGTCTCCTTGATAAAAACTGGGGAAGAATCATGCCTATGTGTGTGTGGCAAGTATGTGAGGGCTGGAATTCACATACCAAGGAGCTCACTCTCACTGTGTCCATTGCTGTGTCCTGTCCTGTGTATGACCCCTACCCCATGACTGTGACTGGCCTTTCTTCCCCACCCCAGTCTGAAGATGAATGTGCACTTGATTTGGACCTTGTGACTGATTTGGTTCTGCACATCGATGCCCGTGGGGAACCAGGTGGGTGCTTCCCCACTTCTCAGCTATGTCCTTTCCCTATAGCTGGACAAACCAGCTCATGGCTGCAGGGCCCCTTTACAGGTGGGATCCTGTGCTTTCTGCCTGGCTGGCAAGAAATCAAAGGAGTGCAGCAACGTCTCCAGGAGGCCCTGGGCATGCACGAGAGCAAGTACCTCATCTTACCAGGTGAGAGGCCTGCCTCTGTGGGAGGGAGCCAGCCTGACCTCGATGGCCCCAGTTTCTGACTGTGTTTGACCGTTTTTCTCTGAGGGTGTGGTTTACCAAATGGTTTCAGCTTATGGGGGCCAGGGCTGGGTGGGGAACCCACATTCCTGTCCTGCCCTCAGCCGAGACTCTTCTGGTCGGACAGTGCCTGTAGCGCTTTTCCATCTTGCTATCATCCACCAGTGCACTCCAATATCCCCATGATGGATCAGAAGGCCATATTCCAGCAGCCTCCACTTGGGGTCCGTAAGATTGTATTGGCCACCAACATTGCAGAAACCTCCATCACAGTTAACGACATTGTGCATGTTGTGGACAGCGGTCTGCACAAGGAGGAACGCTATGACCTGAAGACCAAGGTGGTGCCACTCTCTTGGACCCAACCCATCCATTGGGGGAGGACCCCTGTTCTGGGGTGGCCCCTAGTCCCCATCTGCTGTAGACATCCTTTGTGTGTGAAGGCCACACTTGGGGGACATGTCCCTGTTGAGGGGTGCTGAGGGCGACTGGAGAGGTGGGCAGGCAAGACCTGTAGACGTGGCGGTTTCCTACCTCCCCCCAGGTGTCCTGCCTGGAGACCGTGTGGGTGTCGAGAGCCAATGTGATTCAGCGCCGGGGCAGAGCAGGCCGCTGCCAGTCAGGTTTTGCCTACCACTTGTTCCCGAGGAGCCGGCTGGAGAAGATGGTTCCTTTCCAAGTGCCAGAGATCCTGCGCACACCCCTCGAGAACCTGGTGCTGCAAGCCAAAATCCACATGCCTGAGAAGACGGTGCGGCAGAGGCAGGGCTGGGCGAGGACTTGCTCCTGGACAGGGCATGTGGGACACAGGCTCATGGGGGTGTGGTTCTTGTTGCTGCAGGCGGTGGAGTTCCTCTCTAAGGCGGTGGACAGTCCAAATATCAAGGCAGTGGATGAGGCTGTGATACTGCTCCAGGAGATTGGTAAATGGAGGCCAGGAATGGTTGGGCTGTGGAGTGGCTGGCTCATGGGTGGGACTGACAGCTGGGCTGTTGCAGGGGTGCTGGACCAGCGGGAGTACCTGACCACCCTGGGGCAGCGCCTGGCCCACATCTCTACTGACCCCCGGCTGGCCAAGGCCATAGTGCTGGCCGCCATCTTCCGCTGCCTGCACCCACTGCTGGTGGTTGTTTCCTGCCTTACCCGGGACCCCTTCAGCAGCAGTTTGCAGAACCGGGCAGAAGTAGACAAGGTTAGATCCAGGGCTTCCTATAGCCCTCCTGCTGTTTTATTATTCACACCCCACCCGTTGTCCTGAGCTGGGCTCTGGTCTCTCTCCTGACCCCTGGACCTTCTCTCCCAGGTGAAGGCGCTGCTGAGCCACGACAGCGGGAGTGACCATTTGGCCTTCGTGCGCGCCGTGGCCGGCTGGGAGGAGGTGCTGCGTTGGCAGGACCGTACCTCCCGGGAAAACTACCTGGAAGAAAACCTTCTGTACGCCCCCAGCTTGCGCTTCATCCACGGTCAGCCTGGCCCCCAAGAGGGCCTTCCTGAGCACCTCCCACCCACAGAGCTCCCATCAGCTCCCACCCCCAGCCTTGAGGCAGGGCCTCTCTTCACACTGCACTTTGCCTCCCCAGGGCTCATCAAGCAGTTCTCGGAGAACATTTACGAGGCTTTCCTAGTGGGAAAGCCCTCCGACTGCACCCTGCCCTCCGCTCAGTGCAATGAATACAGCGAGGAAGAGGAGCTGGTGAAGGGGGTGCTGATGGCGGGCCTCTACCCCAACCTCATCCAGGTGCCTCCTCTAGGATAGGAAGCTGACCGGTCCCTACCTCTCTCCACCCCTAGCTCCTTGCTCAGTCTTTTCCTCTGTCCCTTTAGGTGAGGCAAGGTAAGGTGACTCGGCAGGGGAAGTTCAAGCCCAACAGTGTCACTTACAGGACCAAATCTGGGAACATCCTGCTGCACAAATCGACCATTAACAGGTGGGTGGCAGGCAGGATTAGATAGGGAGGCCTCAGAGACGGGCCAGAGGTGTGGCTTCACATCACACGACACTGTTCCCTAGGGAGGCTACCCGGTTACGGAGCCGATGGCTGACATACTTCATGGCCGTCAAGTCCAACGGTAGCGTTTTTGTCCGGGATTCCTCCCAGGTGCACCCGCTGGCTGTGTTGCTCCTCACAGATGGGGACGTCCACGTCCGTGGTGGGTACCCTCCCTTCCACCACTCCAAGGCCTACCCGTGGCCTCAGAGGCTCGGCCAACACAGACTCCCTGTCTTTACCCTTCTCCAGATGACGGGCGCCGGGCCACCATCTCACTGAGTGACAGCGACCTGCTGCGGCTAGAAGGTGATTCCCGAACTGTGCGGTTGCTAAGGGAGCTGCGGCGAGCCCTGGGCCGGATGGTGGAGCGCAGCCTCCACAGTGAGCTAGCCGCACTTCCACTGAGCGTGCAGCAGGAACACGGGCAGCTGCTTGCACTGTTGGCAGAGCTGCTGCGGGGACCGTGTGGCAGCTTTGATGTGCGCAAGACAGCTGACGACTGAGTCCCTCTTCCGTGGGGCTGTGTACAGAGTGCAAATGTTTATTTAAAATAAAGTTATATTTATCCCTTGTGAATACTGCTGTCCTACTAAGGGCTCCTCTCAGGACTCTGGGCTCTTGGCCCCAATTCAGGCGGACCGGAGATGCTTACTGCTGGGGATACAGAGCTGGCTATGGCCCAAGTCCTAAGGGAGGAAGGGGCTTAAAACCTCCACTCTTCAAGACTGAACCACCAGATGAAATGTCTTCACATTTCAACTGCTTTGCTAGTCTCCGCATTGACACAGCTGCTCCTAACACCACAGCACAGCACTTTTCTAGGCAGCCTTGGTTTGTGTGATGGTCCTGCAGGGAACACCGGGCCTTTGTCCTTGGCCACACCCATGTCTCACAGATGAGGGAGGAGGATGAAGTAGGTATGGGGACTGACAGATGACAAGCAACACAGCCCGTGTGGTGGGATGTCAGGCAGCTTTATTGTTTAAATCAGTACAGTTAACAGACACGGGTAATGGCTAAGCCATGAGCAAACAAAGTACAGAAAGATCTCATCCCCAAACCTTGCAAAGTATACACATCATATGGCCTACAGTCCCAATTGGCCAGATCAGCCGCCTCAGGTTCTCCTGACTTGTGGGACCATTCCAGGGAGCTGGGTCTCTTACAGTCTACCTAGAGAGCGTGGGCCACCTTCCACTCTCTAATCCTTGGCCAGTGGACTCTTGTCAATCTCAGCATCCTCAAGGCTCCAGGATCACCAAGGAAGGTAGCAAGTACCTTTATGCCCTCAGCCACCAGCACCCTGGTCCCCGCTGCTTCCTTCTTCCCAGTCCCATCTTGCCGAAAAAATACTGACACAAGGCTCCATGCAGCGTTCTACAGACAGCCTGGGAAGAAAGCCACTCCCTGAAGGCCCCTGCAAGTGTGTAAGGGTGTGTGTGTGTGTGTGTGTGTGTGTGTGTGTGTGTGTGTGTGTGTGTGTGTAAGGAAACTGCTGCCTCAGAACTGTCAAGGACCTTCAGTCCCAGGGATGACTTCCTTGGGCAGAGACAGTACAGACCTCTACCTGCTCAAGCTGTACCTGGAGCAGAGGTGGAGGCTGTGTCAGGAGGAGGGCCAAGAGGGTCAGATCCGGGCCGTCCTCCTGCCAGGCAAATCTGCGCAGCAGAAAATGCCCCACCAGAGGAGCCCTTAGACACGCCCAGGCCATTTCACTACAAACTTAGGTTTGAATCCTTTATTAGAAACCATGCAAACTTTAATACAAAAAATACAAGTGCAATAAGAATCTTGTGTTGATATAATTCCAGGACATTCTCAGCACTGCAGCCATCCCACCCACAAACAGACCACACTGGGACGATGGCTGCACCACCACAACTTGCCTGGCCTCTCCTGCTCCTCTCCAGTCACACCAGGTCTCATGCATTTTAGTCTGAAATTTCCACACCTGATTCCCCACTGTTCACATGCATTCTGGACTGCTCAGGCTCCCCTTGACATGAGCGTTTGGGTGCCTTGGCCTGCAAGTGCAGGTCAGGGATTTTGACCATCATTTCTGTTTCTCCAGCCCTGGTTTTGTATCACACGTTGACCACCAGTTCCCGGGGAAGAAGACAGACGTCAAAACCAGCCTCTTGGTTAGAAAAAGAAAGCAGCGTACACCATGCCAGCACAGCCAGGCACACTGGCCCGCCCTCGCTGTCCGGCTGCTGACTAGGCAGCAGCCCCACTCCTCAGGTTCCTTCCCACTGGGCCCCAAGCGGCCCACAGTAGGGCAGCCCCCAATAACTGACAGCCTCCTCCTCAGTGGAGACTCAGGACCTCCCCCTTGCTTCCTCCATCACCTACTGAGAACTCTCTTTAGACATGGCTTCAACCTGCAAACTATACCAGCAGTTCATGGGTTATTGGGAGGGAAAAAAGACTACAACAAAAAGAAAAGGGAGACAGCAGCTATTCAGGTGTAAGCAGTGGGGACAAGGGCAACAGACCCTGATTAACTTAAAGCAGGGCAGCAAAAGGGCCTGATACCACCTACAGGGCGGCTTCCTCTGGGGGTCAAGGAGAGGCAGTGGTTTAGGTGCCAGGGGATTCGGTCAGTGCTGGTCACAACCTGGAGTTGACCTCTACTAGTCCCCCCAGGGTGAACCAGGGAAGAGAGGGAGGGTTTGTCAGTTTCTTGGAACCCAGCACCCCACCCCTAGATCCCACAGAGATCCCATTAGACTCCCCATCCCCCCCACGACCCTCTCCATGAGCAGTGGTGCAGTGGTGGGTAGTGAAGTTGAAGCTGGGCCGGAAGGGGGGGAAGGAGGTGAAGGCAGCGGAGGCGGGGCTGCCGTGAGCAAGCGAGGCGGGAGGGAAGGAGGCCTAAAGGGCTGCCCAGCACCCAAGAGCTTACAATCTAGTAGACAGCCCGGGAAAGGGAGCCCAGGGCCCGGGACCCCAAGCTTGGGCAGCCAGGGAAGTGGGGAGGCCGGGAGACAATGTCGGCCCCATGGTCGGTGCGGGCCCTGGCATTTGCCCGGAACGTCAGCCTGTAGGTCTCAATCTGCAGTGACACGTGAGGAGGGACGGGAGAGGGCAACAAGGGGGAGACAAGAAGGGGGACACGGGGGAGATGGAAGACGAGACCAGAATGTCATCATTAGATGCCTGGAAGATAAAAGGTCACCTTGTTAAAATTTAGCCATACTCCAGTCATAAAACAAAGGAGTTTCCATTGTCAGCCAGTGACAGGGCCCCTGGCTGGCCCTTAGGCCAAGCCCAGCCACTTACTTGTCTCCTGGATCTGGCTGTCCAAGGTCTGGGGCTCCCTTTGGTCACCACCCCCTGACAGGGTGGTGTGGCCACTGAGGCCACTGGCTGAAGTAGGGGCGCCAGCGTCAAGCGCAGCCTCAGGGATGGCCGGCTCCTCCCCAGCAGGGGGACCCGGACACGGAGGGGCCTCACTGCCACCGCCCTCAGTCTACAATGAAACAGTGGGGGAGACAGTGGAGGGTCAGTTGGGGAGGGAGTGGGATGGTGATGGCGGTGAGGTTTCATAGACAGCCTTCCCAACCCACACCCCAGCGAGCACTGGCTCTGCACCAGGTGTCTACCCTCTCTTCCCCACCAGACTCTCAAGACTGGAGCTGGTGGGGGTTAATGATACTCTCGTGAGTCTCACTATGGAACTCTGTGAATCTCACCAAGGTCGATACCAAATAAAACATGGCTAAGACAACAAGCAACAGTAACTCTGAAGAGCACACAAGAGTGGACTAGGCCTGGCTGGGAAACAGGAGTGGCCCCTGCCAGACCACAGCCAATGCTTGGAGGGCCCTTGGTAACTAAGTAGACACCCTGCCTGCTCATCTGCTGTGTGGTAAGGTCCCCTCATGGTACAGCATCTTTTATTCTTGGCATCATTCCTGGGCACATGGACACAGAGGAAGCAGGAAGAAGGTATTCAGAGGTGTTAGCCAGGAACATTTATTTCAGGGCCTTGTAGAGCCCAACTGGAGGATCCTCAGCATCAACAGTGGGAGCTTTTAGTGGGATGGACCACTATGCCCCAGAAAGCCCACCAGGCAACAGCGGAGACAGACAAGGAACAGACAGGGAGGTCAAGTGGAAAAAGAAAGGAACACAAAACTTGGCACAGAAAAGCCTGGGTGTGAATCTTGGGGTGCATTCCCTTCCTGCTGTGGCCATGAAGCAGATCCCAAATCTGTAACGTCCGACTCAGACAAGATGCCTCTCAAGTCTGGGAGGTTAAACGCGAGAGCAAAGTTCCTCAAAATGTTAACCTAGGTGGAGCCCGGGCTGGAGGCGGAGCATGAAAGGAAAGGCCGGCTGCACAGTGCCGCCCAGCACTCCTGGAGGGAAGGTGCAGGGAGACCGTGGCCCTGGCCCCGCTCCTCTTCCCTCAGTATGGGCAGCAGCTTCACCCTTGGGACCGTGAGCCACTACCTGCACAGGTCTCCCCACCTGCCCACGACACTGAATGAGGGATAGATGGAGTCTTGGCACACAAAAGGTCTCACAGTACTGTGGAAAGAGGTGGGAGGAGAGGAGAGGGAGGAAGGGGAGAGGCCCAGCCACTGTCCGATCTGCAAGTCTGTCTCTGCTCTGATGCTCTCCCAGAGGCTGGGGCAGGGGAGGCCCCAGCAGTACTAGTCTCTGGAGTAAAAACGATAGGGAACTATCAGAACGCCAGCTCACCTCCTCACCTGGGCCCCAACCATGTTCCCTCAGAAAATGGCTGAGATGTGCCCAATAAGGGAGCTGAGAGGTGGCGGCTGGGGCTCTGCCTCCCCTGCCTCACTCTGGACTAAGGTGGTAATGGAGACAGCAATGGGATGACTGAACATGTGACTTCTGGAGAAACTGAGGGGCGGTGACAGGCCTGCTACGCCCCATTGCAACCGCACTGACCCCACACCACTCTAGCTCGGCACTGGTGACCCACGCACTACCTTCACGGCACCTCCTGCAGGCAGGTGGCCCACGTTATCGAGGGATCCAACTTTGGCCTGGGCCTTCTCCTTGAAGTTCAACTTCTGACTTTCAATCTTGACATCTCCTCCTCCTGGAATGACAAAGGAACTGGTCACTGAGCAGCTCCAGGGTGGTCCTGAGGACAAGAGACCGTGGTAATACCTCCCTTGGTGGGAAGGCTGATCTACAACCACTGGAGGCCCAGCCTGGTGCTGGCTTTTGACTCTCCGGCCCCACTGTTCTCCTTGGTGCTCCATCAGTCAGGGTCGACTGGGCAGTTGCTCATGATGCTTGGTGAATGGCAGGGAGAGGAGCTGGACACTGACTGCTGGAGCCCCAGCGTGCCGAGGAGGAGCAGTAAACAGAAAGAAAGGGCAGGCTGGGAAGTGTGCGTGAGAAAAGGCTGACGGGGCCAGTGCTCCTGGGCTCGGGGAGAAGTGAAGGGTGTTTGCACACGAGGGCAAGGCTGAGAGCACACTGCCAGAAGGGAGCACTGGGGAGGAATCATCTCTGATCCTCCCGTCCCTGTTCACCTGCACTCAGCCCACACCCACCCAAGCTCCTGACAAACTTACCAGGTTTCCTCCCCACTGTAGGGACAGCCCTGGCAACATCGGGCCACAAAGGGGGAGTGGGATAAACGATTAAAGACCACAGTATTTGGTCTTCCACTAGAGAATACACTCTAAGTTGGATCTCACAATCCCAATATTTGGAAGGAGGAGGAGGAGGACTGCTAAAAGTTAAAACCACCACAACAAAACTAAGAAAATAAAACAAACCTGCTTGGGGGGGCGGGGTTCTGTGCCTTCACTTTAACTGGCCTAGGAGCTGATCTCAGGAGACATCAGTTTTTGGAGCAAGACCTCACAACCTACTGTCTGCTGTGGGCTGGGAACCAGAGCATGAGCCAAGGCCAAGTGCCCAGGCTCTTCTGAGAGGCCTCAGTGGGACACTGTTAGTGATGCTGCCAGAGGGAACAGCTGTTTGATGCCATTGGTCCAGTTTCCAGATGCTCAGGTTTAGTCAGCATTCCAAAAGCTCTCTCTCTCTTCTCCTGGAAGGCTGGGTACCCAGGAGTCTCTGCTGGGGGCTCCACTGTTCCTGCTCTGCCGTGGTCTGAGCCATCACTGGACTCCCTCACACCAGCTGCCAGCATGCTCCGTCAGGAGGCTGGCCCAGGTCACCAGTGCCGGGCACACAGCACAAAGATGGCCAGGGACAGGATGGAGATGTCACCAAGGAAACAGCTGTCAAAAGGGCCTCAGCAAACTGTCCCTCTTCCAACAGAAAGGCAGCACCCAGCTGCTGTCTCTGGCAGGGTTGGAGATCTGTGCTGCTTCCATCAGGCACCGAGGGGTGGGAGGTAACTCAGTTTTTCTTCTTTATTTTTCATGTGTATGTTGTGTATAGGCATGTATGTATGTGCAGGTGTATGGGTTCACAAGCTTGTAAAGGCCTGAGGTTAAATGTCAGGAGACTTCCTTGAAGGGTCTTTCTCAGTTGAACCCAGAACTCCCAAATATGGCTTGTCTAGGGATAATGTCTATCTGGCTACTATGTCCAGAGGGCATTTATTTGCTTTGCAGGGATCTCAAGTTGGGTCTGGGCACCCTTTCCAGAACTGACTCAGAGTGTTTTGTTTTGTTGTTGTTGTTTTAGTTTTTCAAGACAAGGTTTCTCTGTGTAGCCCTGTCTTGTCCTGGAACTCACTCTGCAGACCAGGCTGGCCTTGAACTCACAGAGATCCACCTGCCTCTGCCTCCCAAGTGCTGGGATTAAAGGCATGCGCTACCACCTTGCTCTGGCTCAAGAGTTTTGATGAAATCGTCCCAGCCAGAAGGCCACTAAGATAACCTCTGAAGGTCCAACCTACCCCAGGGAGTCTTAGCACCACAGGCAGAGTCACTCACCAGGCTTGTGCTTGATATTAGCTTTGGACCCACACTTTGAGGATACCTTGGAGATGTCCACTTTCTTATTCTGAATCTGAACCTAAGCAGAAGAACAGAAAGCAAATATCCTCAGAGAGAAGGTAGACCATGGATGAGCCCAGCCCCCCTTCATGAGCTCCCTTGGTTACCCTCATCTCAGGTCTGTTCAAGGATAGGGCTACATCCTAAAGTGCTGAGAAGAGCCTATGATCTACTGTGGCCCTTCTTTTTCCCCTGACCCCACCTCCCAGGCCCAAGTCTTCCTTTCCATCCTCCAGAGCTGCTCCTCTGTGCAGGATACAAACACCAACATCAAGACTCTCCTAAAATGCCCATCTGGTTTGGTCTCAAAACCTTACCCATCAGCTCTTCGCCCATAGAAACTTAGACTAACACTGAATTTCCTTCCAGTGCTTTTCAATGCATGTCCCCCAGATCAACTGCACAGCCACATGTGTGGCTTTGGACTCTCTACGGGCTTCATGATACAATCAGTCTCCCAAGAAAACAAAAATGCACACAAGGGTCACAAATGATCTGTACTATTTGGCATACATCTACTCCTCAGCAAATACTCAGCACTTAGGTTATTTCCTATCTCTACAAAAGAATTATCTTCAAAATGTAGAATAAAGTTATCAATTTAAATCTTTTTTACATTTTATGTTAAAAAGGTGTGTTTTTATTTGTGTGTTTGAGTATCCTGCCTGCATGTTATGTTTGTGCCCCTAGAGTTGTTACAGTTGTGAGCTGTCATGTGAGGAGAGACAATCAAATAACCACTGAACTCTCCTCTCGCCAGCCCCACCTGGTACATTTTATACAAACAACAAGTAAGGTTATAAGACAGCAGTGTCCTCAGGTAGCAACATATGTTTTGTTTTGAGACAAATTCACCTTTGCTAATATGCAGACCTCAGCTTCCAGAGTGCTGGATTACAGTATCATACATAGGGGCTGTGGTTATTTTTCAGATTGATTTTTAAATGTGCTTCTCAGCCATGGAAGACCCACTTTACCAAGAATACTTGTTCCTTTTGAGCAGTCCGAGTGCTGGAGGCATAGTCCCGTGTGCCTCTAGAGTCTGTGCCCAACAGTCTGTTCTGACCATGCACAATTTGCTTTCTTGCTTCCTTCAGGCTTCCCATAGGCTTTCATTTACAGATACTGTGCTTGTTTAGAAAATAATCAACAGAATGAATTGCCTGACAAGACTATGCAGGTTGTGCTGGCACACGCTGGCCTCTAATCCCAGCACTCTAGAAGGCAGATGTAGCTGGAGCTCCATGAATTCCAGGCCATCCAAGGCTATATGTTATGTTTCTTCTTTGAAAGATAGTTCTCACACCAACAAAGACTGCCTTGAACATCTGGTCTAAGGCAATCCTTCTGCTTCAGGATACCGTGTTCTGGTAACCTCAGAAAGTGCATGCCCTCAACTAAAAATCTGGCTGTTATTTAATTAGCCCACCAAGGTATACTGAAGCAAGGGTGACTATCCCTGAGATCGCCTGTGGGAAATTAACAGAAACTACTTTGTCAGTCTGGGACTGGACACTTTCCAAAACGATGTGAAGTTACATTCGAGGCCTCCTTTCTTTATCTCCTAACTATGCCACAAAGAAAGGAAAGCCAGTGGGAAAAAGTTCTGATTAAAAGACATATTCCAGCCCCAAACTAAAGGATGCTGGAGTCTCATGAAGACATACTCTTCTGACACCACAAACATGACTAATGGCTGATGTGGAAAAGCCATGACCTGGGAGTCATGCCGAAATGTGGGAGAAAAACGTAAACTTAAATTAGTTGAAAGAAAACTGCAGGACAGAGGAACACTAAATGAAAACGCAGGCTGCAAACAGCAAAATTCACACTCCCTAGAACAGGGACTGGGGAGGGAGCTCTGTGGGGACAAGTGCTTGTCATACAATGTAAGGACCTTACTTCAGCTCTTCAGAGATCACAGACAACCTAGATTCATAGCACCAGCACCTCAAATCCTGTAATTCACACAGAGGGAAGGGAGGCAGGGACAAGAGAATCCCCAGAAGTAAGTAGCAGATAAACAACAAAAGACTTTATCTCAAGGCGGAAGAACTTGATCAAAGAGGCCCTCTCATCTCTACCCATGTGCTGTGGCTTGAGTGTCTGTGCCACACACACACCCATAGATGCTAGATAGATCAGAATATGAAGTTCATTCACCCCCCCACCAAGTAGCTTAAAACAAAAGAGTTACTTGAATTGAAGGATCCTATGATTAAAGAAAAATGTCAGGCAATGGTGGCACACACCTTTAATCCCAGCACTTGGGAGACAGAGGCAGGCAGATTTCTGTGAGTTTTGGTTTGTTGATTTTATTTATTTATTCGTGAGACAGGGTCTTTCTATGTAGCCCTGGGTGTTATGGAACTCAATATGTAGACCAGGCTGGCCTTGAAATCAAGTGCTGGGATTACAGGGCTGTATCACCACATTAGACTCTTATCTATCTCTCTATTTATTTACCTTTTTTTTTTTTTTTTTTAAATTATGTTGGTGTTTTGCCATGGGTGTCAGGTTCTCTGGAACTGGAATTACAGATAGTTATACTGGGAATTGAACCTGGGTCCTCTGGAAGAGCAGTCAATGCTCTTAACCACTGAGCAATCTCTCCATCCCCACTTACCTATTTTGTTTTGTTTTTCTAGACAGGGTTTCTCTGTGTAGTTTTGGTGCCTGTCCTGGATCTTGCTCTGCAGACCAGACTAGCCTCGAACTCACAGATTTGCCTGGCTCTGCCTCCTGAGGGCTGGGATTATTTTTTTTCCCCAGAGTTGAGGACTGAACCCAGGGCCTTGCACTCTACCACTGAGCTAAATCCCAACCCCAGGGCTGGGATTAATTAAAGGTGAGTGCTGGGATTAAAGGCATGCAGCAGCAGCAGCAGCAGCAGCAGCAGCAGCAGCAGCACCACCACCACCACCACCACCACCACCACCCGGCCCTTAAAGGAACACTTTAGGCTACAACCAGTCATAGGCCAACACTCCACCCTGTTCTACCTACACCAATACATGCTGTTGAAATGAACTGCCCACAGGTCTGAGCACTTATTCTCCCCCTTACAAGAGTGAAACAGAACCCAAATTGTCATAAAATCTTAAGTTGGGAGGAGCTACAAAAGCAGCTGAAACAAAGAACAGATGAACACATGACTTCCTTTTCTTTCCAATGTTTTCTGGGTATGCAGTTTGGGAGCATTTGGGGAGCACTATGCCTGTGATTCTAGTACTAGGAGGTGGACACAGCAGAATCATAAGTTTGTGAAACCGGCTCAAAAAAAAAGTATGGCCTGGCGGTGGATGGCACACGCCTTTAATCCCAGCACTTGGGAGGCAGAGGCAGGCAGATCTCTGTGAAGTTCGAGGCCAGCATGGTCTACAGAGCTGGTTCAAGGACAGCCATGACTACACAGAGAAACCCTGTCATGAAAACAAAACAAACAAACCACTGTTGAGTTTTAACTAGAAAGTATAAACAGGGGGTTGACTAGGAAAGGGAACACTCTTGGCTGCATTCCTCAAAATAAAACTTCAGGGGGTGTTTGCAGACCTGGGCAGAATGGCCTGAGAATCTGGGGAAGCAGGGGTGCAGAGAAAGAGAAAGAAGGAGAAAGGAAAGCAGAACACCCCGGTTAAACTGGGCCAGTTTCTCTCCAATGAGAGGTGAGGCAGGGCCCAGCAATGTGCCCTTGGTACTTGTAGACTTCTACTTGCCTAGTCACCACCACAGGAGCAAGCAGGAAACACCCACTGAAGGATGATGACCCTCTGAGCTGTTTCCCTGGACCAGAACCTCCCTGTGAGCTGTACGCACCAGCATCCCCCAACACATGCAAAGAGCTAACATGAACAGCACTATGATAACAAGGAGGATGTTTAGATGGAACAGACAAAAAGAAAAGGAACTGAAAAAGAGAAGATGGAAGGTAAGCAGGAAGAAGAGAGAACACAAAGGAAGAACATAGATAGGAACAGGAGTGGTAGGGTGCAATGTTGGTTAGTATAATTTTGTAACGTCAAAGAATCAAGCACAGGCCTTGGTAGGATATGGGCATCTGTCTCAGAGCAGGGGTTCCCCCAGGGGCTGCCCAGGTACACAGGCAAGTCTGTACATCCCAAGCAATGGGAGCTTCAGCTCTCAGCAGGTCTCTGGCTCAGGTAGAGAAAAACGCAAAGCCTCCACACATGGTGGTGAGAGGAGACCACCCGAGTATCTCTAGCCGTGCATCATTAGGACACCCCCAAAATATATATAGGCCTCCAGCTCCCATCACTTGGCAGGAGCGCAACCCAGACCTCTGAGATCCTGTCATATGAGGGAGGGAGCCCCCTTGCCAGGGTTTCCCCGAGTCTAGGCCTCATATACCAACTGACCAGAGCTTATACTTACATTGCCACCTCCAGGGACATGCTTAATATTGTCCTTGGAACCACACTTGGATTGAATATGGCTGTAGCTCACTTTTTTGGAGACTATCTGGACCTGGAGTGTTAGAGAACAGAAAGAGAGAGAAAAACAAAAACAAAAAACACAAAGGGAGAGGGCTAGTTAGAACTTACACAGAGCAGGTCCACATATGATCACAATACCAACAAGAGCGTCCTTCGACCTCTGTCCACACTTTTGTTAGAACATGGTTGGCAAACAAAGGAAAATGGATGAAAGCAAGAAAGAGAGTGAGTAAAGAAAGCGATGACAAACTGCACAGTGCTGTGTGGCTGCCTCACTGCTCCTGGGGGTTGGGCTGGAGTTCCTAAGACTCAAACAGGCCCCTGATGCCCACTTAAATACTGCCCCAATTTATTGTCTAGACCCTTCTCTGAAGAGTGGATATTGATGCTCTGGACCAGTTCCCATCTGGGTCCTGGAACTTGCAGCCAGACTCAGCCCTGGAAACAAAAGCTGCTCGAAGAATTATTGGGCAACTGGCTAATAGCACAGATCTGATAACAACAGGAAGGAAGACACTGTTCATATAAAAAGGCAAATGGTCACAGAATCCTGAACCTGACACCAGGAGAAGAATAGGCCACAGACTCAGTAGCTGGCACACTTCACCCATCTGTCTCAGGCTTTCAAGAACACTATGTGATGGACGAGGAGGGACTTCCTTTTCATTTGTTTGTTTGAAATAGGGTCTCACGGCCAGGCAGTGGTGGCGCATGCCTTTAACCCCTGCACTTGGTAGGCAGAGGCAGGCGGATCTCTGTTAGTTCAAGGCCAGCCTGGTCTACAGAGCGAGATCCAAGACAGCCAAGGCTGCATAGAGAAACCGTGCCTCAAACAACAACAAAACAAAACAAGACAAAAAACAGAAGAAGGAAGAAGGAAGAAGGAGGAGGAGGAAAAGGAAATAGGGTCTCACTATGTAGATAAGCAGACCTGGGACTTGCTATGTAGCCCAAGCAGGCCTCAAACTCCTGGTTCTCCTGTCTCACTCACAACACTGCTGGGATTACAGCCAGCATATCTGGCTTTACAACCCTTGGAATCCTCTAGTGTATAATCAATCCCATGTCCAGTGAGTTGCATGTGTAAATGGAACAGACCGAAATGGTGCTATAGTGAGGAACAATTCAGGAGGGCACAACCATGCCACGCTGCAATACCCTAGCCTGGAACTGAGCAGCATACAGAGTTCTTCTTTGGCTCTCAAGAATAAATACTTCCAGGTCCTTTCTTCCATCCCTCCCTCTCCTTAGAACCAGAGGGTCTTTGCAAATGAAATAAGCTGTGCTGCCTATAGAGCACAGAGAACACCCTGAGGAACTCGAATTCAGACCAGACACCTTACCATGTTCTTTTCATTCATTTCCTAAAGTCCTTCATGACTTTAACAGTGGATTGCTGTTAGTAAACTACAGGGAGCTGTCTAAACCATGTGACTCCACGTGTTTTAGTGATGACCACCAGAAGTCACAATGCAGCTTTCATTATCTCATTACTCCCACCATAGCAGTTCCTGGGGTTGAGAAACTACTGATCTTGGTCCCTAAGGGCCCGAGTCCAGGCAACCCACCTGCCTGCTAGAGCAGGTAGCAGGAGCCTATTTTTCAGTGTGTGAAATTCACAACAAAGCTGGGGTTTCAGTTTCCCAATGCCTTTCAGCAGACACTGTATTCCCTACAAGGTGGTTTTCCACCATTGAGAATCCTAATATCCCTCCAAGAGATGAATGGGAGAGCGGAGTATCACATGATATAGCTCAGTAGTAGTCACAAAGCCTTGGCTTTAAAAGGCATCTCCAGCAGGGAAAAAAAAAAAAGATGGACCCGGTAGCCAGCAGCACCTTTGTAAGGTTAGAAGACAGGGTGGCAGGGCTCTGGGTACTGCCACTGCCTTGTCTTCTGAGGAAGAGCCTGGGCATGATGGGTTTGTATGCATACTATGCATACTAAGTGAGTTTCAAATGTCAAGGAAGTGACGGACAGTTTGCAAGTTCCCTTCATCTGGTTGAATAAGTAACCCCCAATGGGGAATGAGCTCACAACTTGGTTAGCTTTTGGGGATGATATAAAAACTGATGGCTGAGTCATTAACTAGAGGAAGGAACACAGGAAGAAGCAAGAACCAGTTAAGAACAGGAGCAAAGTAGAATAGAAGGGAAAGTGACTCAGGCCAGAGAATGATGTCACCACTTTACCTCATGGAGGGAAACCTAAACAAAACTCACTTTCCCAGCAGACGGTCTCTGTGCACTCGCAATGGAGCCAGCTGCTTTAGTGGCTGCGTTAGGTTCAGGCTTCCCAGCTGTGGCAGCTGCCTCTGTTTTTTTCTCTATTTTGGCCTGGATGGAGATAAAGGGGTGGGGGTGTGCAAATTTCAAACAAAGATGAGAGTCCAAATGCCAAGGAAAGAGGAAGGTGGGAGGAAAACAAAACAAAAAACCACGGCCAGGATATGCCAGACAGAAAGAAGCAGGTCACCCTTGTCCCTAGGATAGCACACTGCTAGGCTAGATCCTCAGGGAGCCCTGGGCCAGGGCACAGGAAGAGGAATCATAGGCCAGAGCTGTAACAAAGAGGAGATCATACATTTATGGAGAAAAGGTCTGAAGGCTAAGACGATCAAATTGGTGTTTTTTTGTGAGCATGATTGAGATTGTCATTTTAAATCACGGTGCCCACACAGACAATAGACAACCATATCACTAGCCCAAGTTATTTAGAACCTCTTAAGCTTTTATATCAAGAAAAAGTAAGAAGATCATAGATGGGGAGAAGGGTCATCTGTGGCTCAGTCCAGATACTGGGCTGGTTATCCATGGCAACCACTGTTACCAAAAGTAACTCTGAAGCCCTCATCCCAGAATGATCCTAGTTTGTCATCCAAATGAACCATGATTGTGCTGTGTTCTTGTTCCTATTCTATTTTTTTAAAATTTTATGTGTATGGGTGTTTTGCATACATACACCATGTGCATGCCTGGTACCCACAGAGACCCGAAGAGGGCACTGGACTTGCTGGAACTGGAGTCACATACAAATGGTTGTGAGCCACAGATGTAGGTTCTGGGAACTAAGCCTGGGTTCTTAACTACTGAGTCATCTCTCCAGGCCCCCTACTCAAATTCTAAGAACTTTGGACTAATAAAACTGAAGTATCCTAACTTTGGATGCTGACAGAATAGTTCAAGTGCTAGCAAAGGACGAACTGAGACTGGAACTACTCCAGGGATGAGACAGTCTCAAGGGAACTTGACAACCAATTCTTCCACACTCTCGGTTCCCCACAGCTGATAACACTTAAGGCATCAATCTGTGATCATGCAAATAGAATATTTTTTTTAAAAAGTTTGCATGTGTGCATGTAAACACTTGTGCTACAGCACATACATGGAGGGTTAGAAAAACCCTGAAGGAGTCATTTTTCTCCCCATCACAGGATTTCAGTTCTGGTGGCCAGTATTTTTATCCCAGTTATCTTGTTGGCCCCAGAATGTTCTTTGTCATCCTGCCCCCTCCCACCCTCCCAAAAAGGGCAAAGTTTTTCTATGTAGTCCTGGAACTCACTCTGTAGACCAGACTGGCCTCAAACTCACAGAGATCCTCCTGCCTCTGCCTTCCTCTGCTGGAATTAAAGTTGGGCCACCACACCCAGCTTCAGAACTTTCTTAATGTGAAGCACTGTGTATGGTTCATTCCTTTTCTTTCTTTCTTTCTTGTTTGTTTGATGTGCATTGATGTTTTGCCATGGGTGGCAGGTCCCCTGGAACTGGAATTGTAAATAGTTGTGAGCTGCCCTGTGGGTGCTGCGACTTGAACTTCCAGGTCCTTTTGAAGAGCAGTCAGTGCTCTTAACCACTGAGCCATCTCTCCAGCCCTGTGTATGGTTCATTTCACAGCACAGCTTCTCTTGGACACTAGAGGGCACCCCAGTTTTCTTTCGGACAGACTCCTCCCACACCATGGGATGGAGAAATAAGTGTGTCTGTTAAGAGCCATAAATAACTGGGTTCATGTCCAGTGTCTCTTACCCTCACAGTTTCTGAAGCTCTCTCTCCATGCTCCCTAACCCCTGCAGAAGCTGGCTTCAAACTCATACTGATTCTGTTGCTCTCTCTCTCCTGAGTGTTCACATTATAGGCAGGAACCACTACATCCACTTCCTAGAGTTTTTGTAAAATAGAAGACTCTTTCTACCCCAACATACTGAACAGTAGCTCTTGTATCACTATGGGAAGAGAAAGAGAGAACAAAGCTGACCCTGGGTCTTCCTGGTCCTGAATGCAAGGTCCTAAAAGCCCTCTTTGGTGGCTGGACAAGGCAGAAGAGAAGCAGAAGCCAGCATGCTAAGATCCCCAAGCTCCTGGACTTACCCGGCCTCCTCCAGGCTGGTGCTTGATGTTTTCTGTAGAGCCAATCTTGGAGCGAACATTCTTCAGATCAGGGGCAGAGGCAGTGGTGGTCAGGCGGCTCAGCCTGGGAGCAGAGGAACTAGGCTTCGCCGAGGTGGGCTTCTTGTCCACAGAAACTGCCACAGAAGGCCGGGAAGGTACAGAAGTGGGCTTGACTCGAGTGGAGGTCGTCCCTCCTGGGGGTGCTGGCCCAGTGGGAGTGGTGTTTCTCTTCACAGAACTGGTAGAGGTGGTCTTTGAGCGACTCAAGTCAGCTGCAAAGGAAGGAGAGGTGGCAGGAGTGCATGGGAAAGGGGTCTCAGAGTTGGGGAGGGAGGGCAGGCTCACTGGGGCTGCGTCAGGTGTTAGGTAAACTGGGTATTACCTGGTGCAGACTTGGCAGTCATCTTTTTGACATCAGCGGCTTTTCCCTCTGTTTTAGTGGCTGCACAAACAAAGTAGTATACTTAACGAGATGACATGCTGAGATTCATCATTCATTTGACAATTACAGAATGCCTACTTTGAGCTAGTGACTGTGCTTGTATCTGGAACATAGTACAAAAATTAAAATAGTCACATGAAGACTGTGTGCTCACAGTATACAAGGCCAGCACTGCATCTCGTTTTCATCAGTCTCAGTAATGACTTATGCGAAGTAGCTTATCAAATATGCCTATGAGATTAAATTACCTGTTTCTTTTTTGCATGGTGGAGACTAAACCTAGGGCCTCGCACACACTGGAAGTGTTTTACCATGGGGCTGGACTCATGGACACAAGGTGATGGCATCTACGTAGTCACTAACAAAGGAGTAACTAACTCATCCGAGAATTCACAAGCATCACCTTTGCTCAAGATTTTTCTGATACACACAGCTGCTAATAAGCTCACTCAGTGGTGAGGGCTTGCTAAGCCCAGGGCCTGCCTGGCTACCACTGTACAAGGTACCTAACACTGAAAGTTATTGCATAAACAAATCACTATAATGTCAGTGCTACAGCCAGAAGCAAAGGGAAAGGCCTATTCTCTTCCCACTGGTTCCCAGGGAAGAAGACTATGTAATACTCACAGATGGGCCTCTTAGGCAGAGGTGTGGCAGGACTTCTACTGCTTGGCCCAGTGGAGACAAGACTTGAGGGAGATGTGGCTTTTGAGACAGTTGGGGTGGTTTTAGGTCCAGGTCTGAGGGCTGGGGTGGATGCAGGCTTGGAAGGTGAGGTCCGCTTTTCGGAAATCTTAGCCTCTGTAACTGGCTGGAAATGGGAAAGTGGAGGTAAGAGCTGCAGGTCAGTGATGGCTCCATAGGGTTTTATAAGCATGCCCAGAAAATAGAAGACACTATGGACTCTGCAGTGAGTAACTAGAAAATATATGGTTCTAAGTCAAGTAACTCAGATAATTTGGGCAAGGTGTTTGATGCTTGTGATATCAGTGCACTTGGAAGGATTAGGGTAAGAAGATTGTTATGAGTTTGAGGCTAGCACAAGCTACAAAGTGAGTTCCAGAACTGACTTATCCACAGATAGAGACCACAAAACAAAAACGAAACAAGAAAGACCTTCAGAGCAAGTGCCAGGTAGGATTAGGAGATGGGAGTCAGTCTCCATCAATCCACTGGGAGTGTAACCTCAAAGGATGTTTCTTACCACAACCTATTTTTACTTGACAAGATTTAATAACCATATGAACCAGAAGCTAGAAGTAATGTTTAGCCATTCTCTTAGTTAGCATTTACCCAGAGCAGTGGGACAGGACAGCATTCTACCAGTCAAATCTGAGTGAGAGCCTGAGCTTGTAGCCTGAGTCTGGTTCCTAAGGCACAGTGTGTCCATT